GCAATTATTACACTAAAATGGAGCGACCTGAGGTAAAATTCCTGCAAATTAAAAAAAAAAAAAATTGTTTGCTTGGGGGGGGGGAGGCTCGGGGGGGGGGTTCGTTCGAACCCCCCGAACCCCCTCTGGCTACGGGCCTGCATATATACATATATATATTAGCGCAGGCAGCACAGCTTTAGATTATGAGAATCATAATGCTCTGTCTTCTGCTACCAGAGCATATGAATCAACTTTTCCTTTGAAAAAATGCACTGCTTCTGCTGTCTTTGGACGACATCTACTAGCTATTATACCCATAGAAATAATATAGATAGATAACCTAGAACGCTGATTCGCCCTGATCTCCCTGTACTTAAAGGGATTGTTTACTCTAGGTTCTATGGTTATTTTCAGTTAATTTAGGTTAAAATTACGCTACATAAAAAGTTTCATGGTTCAATCACCATTAAAAATATTATTAAAAAATGTTTTAAAACTAACGACTACAGTTTGATTACAACGACGGTGGCGCCACTCAAAGCGCACGATCTGATAAGTTGCGCAAAATCACTTTCCAGCCAGCGTGATTTTTTTTCCTAGGTCAATCAAGAACATAGGGCTCTAGTGAGCGCTGCTATTGGTTGAGCTTGTTTCGTCACTCAATGACAAAACACATCCAAAATTAATAATTCCAATATTCCTCAATAGCCTAGCGAGTACAGCACGCAATTCAAGGCTGAAAGGTCGGTGGATGACACGTGACCACTATTAAATCACTACCGGTTCATTACCCTGTTAGGTTAGAGCAGAGCACTTATATCAACTCAGTTGATATAAGTGCTCTGGTTAGAGGATGTGACGCGTCATCGGCCGACCAATCGGAGTGCCCACAGCTCGTGCACTAAAGCTGACGTGACGTTTTGTGGTTGCATTATTTAGGCTGGCCAGCTCTGGGCTGGCTATCGTGTGTGTCATTGACATGCACATGGAGATGGGTGGATGGTTACTGGTAATATAAAACGAATTCTTTCAATGTATGGCCCCCATTCGACTGCGCGACTGTTTTTCAGGCTCAAATGTGGTGTCGATTAGTAAATTCGCGATATTTTTTTAAAACGCCGGACAACATATGTCATAACTCTAATGGTGCACAGCTGAAGTACATGGCTACCTAGCTTTAATATTGCCACTCGGCCGAAAGCGGTTGAAATATTATTTTTCAGCTCCTGAAATTTAATTCTTAAGTATAGAATCCTATGGAGGATTTAATAGTGGTCTGTTCTCATATGCAACTTTTTCGGGGTGGCAGCATGGTCGCGGGTGTCATGTCGCCGTTCAAATTTCGTAGCGTTGATGTGTAATTAATTATAACAATTAAATTAGGTATCTGGTAAGAAATACGTGTGGGTATAGACGATTTGTTATACAGTAAGTACAGTTGTATGCAGTAAAATCCTAGAGGCTACTGTCCCTTTAACATTCTAGGTTATCTATATTATTTCTATGATTATACCAAAGATTATACCTAAAGTTTTTAATACTTTTCCGATACATTTCCATACCGTCTAAACAATAGAGCATGTAGTGCGATTAGACTGGTACCCGGTCCCACCTAGACTGGTACTTGCTCCCACCTAGACTGGTACTCGCTCCCACCTCAATTACTCGTGGTTACTCGATTACTCGTGACCTAAGCCGATAGGTGGGACCGGGTACCAGTCTAGGTCCTACCTCTCGGCTTAGGTAATCGAGGTGGGAGCGAGTACCAGTCTAACCTACTCACTGATCTCTATAAATAACATAGGTTTTATATATATATATATATATATATATATATATATATATATATGTTTTATTATAGAAATCAGTGGACCTCACTGATCTCTGTAATATAATCTATATTATAGTGATCAGTAGTGAACCTACTGTACTGGCGTATTTACATAGAGTTATATATTAGACCCCTTGTATAAATAGAGTTATATATTAGTACTATAGAGTTATATATAGAGATATATTAGTTATATATTAGAGTTATATATTATTATATATTTATATAACTCTATGCGTATTTACTACTAAGTTTTTAATACCTTTCCGATACATTTCCATACCGTCTGAACAATAGAACATGTGATGTAGTGCGATATTATCACCGAGACTGCTGACTGGTTTTCATCTCACATTTGATAAACTGCGGAATTTTGTAGGGAAGTTGAGCTGCGAAACCGTGACAGGATAATAGGGTAATAGGTGACAGGGTAAGCAAAGTTTACTATAATTCTAGCTCGTTGCGTTGTCCCGAAATGCACATTCAAGTTGCCTGATCGATAACGAGGCTTGCGAAACGCCAGGGTTGAGCTGGCGTACAGGCGGTAGATAGTGTAGTGAAGCGAAACATACCGCCTGTATCATACAGGTTAAGTAATTAATGGTATAATATTGTGGGTACGTACCGGTGTGATATCGTTGTTATTCTCTTCGACTTCAGCTCAGGCGACGAATCGGGACCAACAAGAGCCGCGGTGTTCGTCAACACTAGCAGCGTCATGGATGACTATGAATGTCCGAGATGCAAGACTACGAAATACAGACACCCGTCTCTGAAGCTTATGGTGAATGTCTGTGGGCACTCTCTGTGAGTGTATTTAGATTTAAGAGTGATAAATGAGTGGAGATGTCCCTGCAGTCTAAAGTAAACCTTACTAAGTTTCTTTTTCCCTGGTAGTGGTATATTTTGGACTGTTGATTTTAGGCAGTGGCTGGAGGTACGGCAGCCGTATCTCTAATTAACGAATCCGATAGCCCCTGTGGCGTCGGGCGATGCGGAGCGCGATTGGCTGCAGGCGGGACGTATCATAAACAGCTGTTGTCACTGCAGCCAATCGGGCTTGGCGCTACCGGGGCTGATCGAATTTGTGAATCGTCTACAATCTTGATGGATCGGCACGAACCGTGAAAGTTTTTATGAAGGAAAGTTTATATACAGTGACACCACAGTGGAACTGTAATTGAGAGGTACGGTAGTAGGACCTATTTGTGAATGTGCGTTCATATTATTTTCAGTTTTTACTGACTGTCCCAAGTGCCTGTGGTACCTCCAGCCACTCCATTGATTTTAAATCCTGTTCTAATATAAACCAGGATGATATGATACAGCAAACGTGTGAAATGTACATATGTTGCTGTTTTCTAGAAGTTCTACTTGCCCCGCTGTTCTTGCAGTACGTGTCATGGATATGAATATGCACACATGATTAATCCCTTGCACGCACATGCACACGTATAGACCTGCATGCATACATGCGCACACACACGGAGACGGCCCAAGGATATAACAGCTGTCCACATTTGCACATGTCGCACATTGCGAAAATGCATTGGGGAATTTGGGGTCACCTAATTAATACATACTTGAACCCACGGAGACACGCACGCACGCACGCACGCACACGCACACAAGCATCTTTACTATGTGCACGTTGTGTGTTACATTGCAGCTGTGAGAACTGTGTGGAGCTGCTATTCGCGCGAGGATCGGGAAGCTGCCCAGAATGCGAAACTCCTCTCCGACGTAGTAACTTTCGCATACAGCAGTTTGAGGACACGCTAGTAGAGAAGGAGGTGGACATCCGCAAGCGGATTCTCAGGGAGTATGTTGGCCAAAGAAAGCTGTGTATAGTACACGAAACGTATGAGAAGTAGAGAAAGTACCTACACGAACAACCTTTACACTTCATCAGGGTTCGAAATTAGCACTCGCACACGCACAACATGCGAGTGGATTTTTTTGTAAATTGCAAATGGAAAATGTTAGTACTTACTATTTTTTGAAAATGGATATATACAAAGTGCTCTACATTGCGATCAGAATGGTTGCATCGGCGGCGAAAACGCGCATCACTGGTCCAAAAAAGGCTAGTCAAATAATAGGTCACTGCAACACACCGACTAGCTTGCACATAGTAGTGTTATCCATGAGCTAATATATAAATTAGGTTGTGACAGCTAATATCAATATCATTATTGGGATTACTCAATTGAAATGATGTTCTTTCAGTTACAATAAGAAGGAGTCAGACTTTGACACACTGAACGAGTACAATGACTATCTGGAAGAAATCGAGACAATAGGTAAAGAGTTAAGTTTAAGATACATATAATTACATGGTGCTGATAGATCTGTTAGTCTTCCATATATCTTTTCATTTAGTATAACACAGCACAACAACATAAAACACTCTTACGTTAACACAACTGAACCTCTGAAATCGTATATATATATATATACAGATTCATTGTTGGAAAGTATGTTGTCAAAAGTTGTAAACATCTCTTGTTTGTTGATATAGTCTTCAACCTGATGTACAACACTGATGTCGAAGAGACGAAGCTGCAGATTGAACAATACAAAAAGGATAACCAAGCAGTGATTAAAAAAAACAAATCCAAACTTGTAAGTATTCTCTTCTAGTAAGTTTTGGCAACATAAGGTCAAGACACACTGCAGTGACAATGACCAACAGTATCGCTCAGCGTCAAAGTCACAGTGATTGGCCTCGCCTACATTGCAGGTGCTAATGACTGGGATTAGGTCACTGTTCGTCTCCTTTGTTGCTACACAATGGCAGATGTAAACTCGAGCCTGTTGAATGTTACATGGGCCTACCATTAATTTTGCAATCCTGTCCTAAGGATAGCTAAAAGTTTTCTGTTAGTTGGGAAACCTTGCACAATAATTGCCTAAATCTTATAAAAATAGAATATCTCTGCGCACATAAATTGATCTGTTCGACTGATGCCATTGCAATCCTCAAACAGCTGAGCAGCTCAGTTTCGTTAAGGAATTTTTTTTTGGCATCCCCACGAAAATACTTATGTGATTGGCTATTTATGAAGTGTTGTTCAACGATGTCGGTGGCTATTAGAAACAATTCTAAATATATTTGTCGATTCTGTTATTGCAGTATGTTATCGCTTGTGTGCGCAGCAGCTCATTGGAAACAATAGTTTTTAATTTTCTAGAATGGAGTTTGAATGTTACGGTAGGTTGTTGTCATTATAGTGTGTCTTGATCTTGAGGCAGTAGGATAGAATTTGTGTGCAGAAGCATTCTATGTTAATATATGAATCCAAAGTAAATACAAAATATGTTGGGGATCGCCTGTGGTTGAATTATTTCAATGTTGTGCGTATAGACCTTTTGATGAGCTACATTTTTCCATTTGGTAGAGCCAGGATGAGAACTACATTGATGCTATGCTGGAAGAAGAAGAGCAGCAAAGACTAGATAGGAGAAGGCAAGCATTGGAGGAGGAGAAAAAAGAAAAGGTGGCGAAGAGAAAGCACAAGGAAGATCTCATTGATGAACTGGTACATTTATGCATAATATTCAGTCATTAAGTAAGATTAAAGGCATAATAGGCCCATTGATTATGCAATGTTGACGAATGCTAGAGTAACTGGCACCTTGTGTAGTTAATAAGTACATAACCTTACATCCAAATGTGTATTAGCTTGTCCAATATCACTGCTGGTTACTAAGAAATGTGTAATTAAAATCTGCGGTCAAATAAATCGGTTGTTTACAGTTTCAAACCGCAGCCGCCGAATCGGGTGTGATACAGATTATAGTGCACCGGACATTTTCGCATGCATGCTCGGACGTACGCAATGCTATCATCAGTGATTTCCATTCTTGTGGTCTGAGTGCGCATTCCGTACGTTATGGTTTTACTCTTGAGAATAAATGAAGATACGAAGATCTTGAGATTACAAGCAACATATAAATGTGAAAAACAATCACGAAGCATCCGTGTTTATTACGTTCATGCAGTATCTCTGCGCACTGGTAGATCATCTCCAGCTGTTACCGTTCAGCTGCTTGAAAGCTCTTGCTGCTGTATTGCGCTCAGTTGGCATGCTAGCGATAATTGTAATGAACGTGGAATCCATGTACGAAACACGGACCACCACTGCACCTCCATTTCATCTGGCGTTCAAAACATACGGGCCGAACAAATGTTTTCACAAAAGGTTCAGATACAAGGAGGATTGTTTCAGCTGGTCACAGAAGTTACATTTGCAAACGAATGCTTCCAGATGTTTTCTGACCTTCCTGCTGATCACATTATGGCTACTCACACGGCCAAAGTACCGCAAGCAGCCATGGACGGGCACCGGGCAGGGGCAGCAACATTCTCTTCAGGCATCCGCGTGGGAGTGGTGAGTATCGCTTTCAGAGAAAAGCAAACAAGTAATAATCTTACGCCCATTGGCAGAAACAGTATAAATACCGATGACTTTCGTAAGTCTAAAGTGTCATAACATTTGTGCAATACTTCATGTGCAAAAGTTATGACTTTTTAAATTTATAATAGTGACAAGTATTTACATTTTTTCTGACAACAGGCCTGAGATTCCTGATGTCAGACTCCTAACTACTAATGATGTTTCTCACAATGGTCCCCTTGTGCCTCCTTTTGGAAGTCTTGTAATTCGATCCTATACACCTGTACAGCCACCATTTCTAATAAATACTCTTTTATATGTATATAATCTGAACCTATAAGCTCCCATAAGCTATGTTTTTAGCTCAGCTGACGAAGTCAGATACAGCTTGTAGAATCGCATGATTGTCCGTCCGTCTGTCCGTCAACAGTTGGGCACAAATCTTACATTTCTCATTCTCAATTTTCTTGCACGGTATACGATGATTAAGTCGTACATCTTCAGTAGGGTCACATTCCAAGGCCAATCTAGCTATGCCTACAGCCCTGGGGCCCGTTGTCAGAAACATCGTAAAGTTAATGCTAAGATAACACTTACGACTAATGTTAATGTTACGAGAGTAGCGTTGACAAAAAACACATCGTAGCTACGAGCAAACTCACGATAACAGGAACTTCATAATTTCATGTCACAAGGCTGCTGATTGGATGAAAATCGATCACAAAATTCAAATTCATACACATTTATTGTACATCACAGTAATTTATGCATATTATCAAGAGTACATAATAGGAGAAGAGTATGACACCGTTTTAACAGCGTTTTGCATAGTTTTCAACTTGTAAATATTCTATCAATATGTGAATAAATATATTCAAACTTTACCTTACTTTCATCTATGATTCTCCCTTAATCATATGACACCACCAATTTACCTGGAAATCGTGTGTGTTCTTCAAAAAAGTTCTTTGAATACGACACGGTTTCAAACAGTTTCCACAAATGGCAGCATGTGTTAGGCGAAAGTTCGACCAAAGTTGATATGCGGCGGCAGCACCAGGTTGTAATCAAGATACAAGATAGAGACAATAGAACACTAATCCCATACTAAACTTTCGCCTACACATGCTGCCATTCGTAGAAACTGTTTGAAACCGTGTCGTATTCAAAGAACTTTTTTGAAGAACACATATGATTTCCAGGTAAATCGGTGGTGTCATATGATTAAGGGAGACTCATAGACGAAAATAAGGTAAAGTTTGAATATATTTATTCACATATTGATAGAATATTTACAAGTTGAAAACTATGCAAAACGCTGTTAAAACGATGTCATACTCTTCTCCTATTATGTACTCTTGATATTATGATGGCTAACCACATATAAATAATATTTGATGAAAATCGATGCGGTCATGAATTTATTCTGCACAACAAAACAAATTCTCACACTGTAACACGAGACGCGAGAGTCGTGGTCAGTGCAAAAGTATTTAAAACAAGAGAACAAATGCCATACGCCATTTGTAAACGTTTTGTTTTGCTTCACGATCGATAGATAATTAATGTTTTTGACGTGTTATTACTCATTAATATAAAATATAATATCACTATAATTGTAATTCTTAGTCTAAATGTGTTATTTTCATCTTAATATTAAAGTTACGAGAGGGTCTGGGCTCTCGTAATGTTAAGTGTTTAAGAGGATATTTGCGAGGATTTTTCGTTCTCGTAACATTACGATGTTTCTGTCAACAGTTAACGAGTGGAAGTTAATGTTAAGACTAATGAGTAATGTTAAGAGTAATAAGACTAATTTTGTTTCTGACAACAGGCCCCTGGACGTTTATTCCTTACGGAATGTCCCTGCGTTAAAGCACTATTTACAATCCTTTTACTTTAATTAATGACAAATATGTGTATATATGAGCCTCGGGTCTGTTACCCTTGGGTGGAAATTCGTTTTGGCTGCACTTCTCAGACTCGGTCGCGAGCTAGAGTGGACGCCACCCAGTCGTTGTAAACAAAACTGTATCACGTTAGTTTTCAAACATCTTAAAAAAAAATAATCTAAATGGTGATTGAAAACCATGAAACCTTTTATATGTAGGCACAGCCAAACTGATACCGATCGAAGCTAAAAACTGATCTAGAAAATCACCTATGAACCTCCATAAACGACGCTCATCTTTGGCTCGAGTAACTATATTAAGGTTAGTACTGGCAACCTGCCAACACGCGCAGATGTGCTCTAAACTCCAGGACAGCTCGATGCGAAATCACAATTGGCCGGTCCGGCCAGCAAAATGGCGAAACCCCGTGGCTACCGTAGGCCCTTTGAAGGCTGTGTACAGCCTCAACCTGGTAGGAAAAGCGATCGACTCCGTGCCGAAATTGGAGGTCCCAGTCCAAAAGGACACAGGCAGCTTTTAAGACATTTCTGAAGGCACATGGGCTGACAGAGCGCTGAAAATAGCTTTATGATTTTTAGAACGGTTGAGCCTTACTTTGCATTTTTATTGGCTTTTATGTGAAAAGGATCCATGGAATGTTAATTGTTCTGCTGGACTATGCCGAATAGATAATGCTTCGGATTAACCTTTTGATCGTCCTGCATTAGGTGTCGGTTTAAACTTATTGGATTGCTTTAGCTGTTATGAATAGAATTTGAGCTGCCGCTCGTTTTTTGGTCTTAGCAAGAATTCTAGTGACATCCTGGATGTTAATGATGCTACAATGTCATCAATTCGAAATATCAAATAAGCTGGAGAATTTTGGTTGAAGAAGTTTATTCCCTTGAAATCTTATTATATTTTCTATTGGGATATAAATAAATATAAAAAACTTTTGCTGTAGCTTGTCATGCTGTTATCTATTTAACGTATGCCCTGTCCAAGTGCCAGTGCATGGTGGGTGGTTTGTATCTGGTGTTAGTTCTTTTGCTGCGTTATTTTAGATTACAGGGGCAGCTCTCGTATTGCTACCTGTATGGGGTTGCCTTATGGTAAATGGATTTCTTACTCTATCTGTCTGCCAAGTATAGTCTTTACTTACTAATTTGACGTACCGATGGGAGGCTGTTCCATCTTTATATACTAGAAGGATGGGCACTTTAATAAGGCGCTACGACGTCCACTCACCGGGTCGTGGCGAACTTTCTAAATGATCCCATACGTGAAACATTTCTTTTGATGTAAGGCTCCTTGATACCGATCTCCTATGCCATTCCTACTGTTTGTGCGCTGGGTGTTAGAGTGAATTCACATTTTTTAGGCGACTTAACAGGCGTTTACATAGAAAAACCTCACCACTGGCCACCACAGAGCACCGCAGTAATTGAAACCTATGAGCGGCGTTGTCGCTCTCGTGCAGGTCACTTGTTATCTAAACTCTGTTCTCCATCTATGTGGCTCTGTGGCCTCAGCACTCTTCCAGACCACTCCGCGTTGATTTGTTAGAGAGTGCATTCTCTCGTTGTTCTAAATATTAAACTCAGGATTGATGACTGATACAGCAATACTGTGAAATTGTACCTATGTGCTGTTTTCTAGAAGTTCGATCTGCCGCCAGACTTGCTGTCTTGGCAGTATTACGTGTGCATGATTATGTAATATGCCGCAGCGATTATGGATTAACCGCTTCACAGCTGCCGTGCACGACGTCATAGACCTGCATGCAGTAACATGCGCATTATGGACATACGTGAGAGCGGCCCAAGGATCATATACGCTTGTCAGCCCTTTGCACATTGTCGCATCATTGCGCAGATCGCATTGAGGAATTTTGGGGTCACCTAAATTAATGACATACTGACCCACAGGAGTACAGCCCACAGCGACCACTCCCGGCGGCCAAGCACGCACAACTGACCTTTACAAGCATAATTCTTGAGATATGTGCCAGCGTGGGTGGTGTGTTTCGAGTTGCGGCTGCGAGGCAGGGAGAGCACGTGTGCGTGGAGGCTGCTATTTGCGCGGAGATCGGGAAGCTGCCAGAATGCGATAACCCTCTCGCGACGTAGTAATTTCGCATCAGCAGTTTTTGAGGACACGCTAGTAGATGAAGGCAGGTGGACATTCGCAAAGCGTGTATTCTCAGGGAGGTATGTTGGGCCCAAAGACAGCTGTGTATAGTACACTGAAACGTAATTGAGAATAGAGAAACTACCTAACGATCACACGCTTTGACACCTTTATCAGGGTTCGAGGAAGTTGCGCAGTCGCAGACAGGCTGTGCGGGTGGGCCGCGACAAATGTCAAGTGGATTTTTTTGTAAATGTGCCAAATGGAGAGATATGTTAGTAGGCTTGCTATAGTTTTATGAAATGGATTATACCAAGGTGCTCTACAGTTAGCTGAGGCAGGATAATGGTTGCATCGGCGGCGAAACGCCATACACTGTCCAAAAAAGGCTATCAATAATGAGAGTTCACTGCAAACACCGCGACAGCTGCCAGCATAGTAGTGTTTTCCATGAGGCTAATAATAAAATTAGTTGTACAGCTCATATCAATATCGATGATTGGCGATTACTCCAATTGAAATGATGTTCTTTATCAGTTACAATCAAGCAAGGAGTCAGGACTTTGGACACACATGAACGACGTACAGGATGACTACCTGGAGGAATCGAGACAAATCAGGTAAACAGAAGTTAACGTTTAAGATACATATAATTACATGGTGCTGATAGATCTGTTACGTGTGTAGTCCTTCCATATCATCTTTTCCATTTAGTAATATACAGCAGCACAACAACATAAAACTACTTGCTTACGTGTAACACAACTGAACCTCTGAAATCGTATATATATATACAGATTCATTGTTGGAATCAGTAATGCTTTCAGTTGTAAACATCTTGTTGTCTGAATAGTCTTCTAAACTGATTGTACAAACACTGGATGTCGAAGAGTGACGAAGCTGCAGATTGAACAATACACAAAAAGAATAACCAAAGCAGTGATATTAAAAAGAACAAATCGCAAACTTGTA